TATTATTATTATTATTATTATTATTACTTATTACTATTATCATTATTATAATTGTCATTGTTATCCTTCGGCCAATGATCTCAAAAGAAAGATAATAATTGTGTTCGGATGAATGTTACTAAATCTGAGCCGATTTCAATTTTCGTCAATGGCCACAACGGGAAAAGGATCACCGTTTTCGTTTCTACATTCAAATCACGAACTCTACTTCTTCATCGTCTTTTCTTCTTTGTCTACTTTACTATATCTTCTTTTTTTTTGTTTGTTTTTTCCGTTCGTTCCTTCCTTCCTTTTATTTTTATTTCTGGCCTATGTACTCTCTAAACATGTTTATGACGCACACGAAGCGAATTCTTTGTCTACGGTTGCGCTTCGTTTTCGGTTGTTATAAGTTCTGTTACATTTCTCATATGACGCGCGCATTCCAAAAGGTGATAAGCGCGCAATTTTTTAATTCTTTCCTTCGTTTCGATTTATCTCGGATCACACAAACTTCTTCTGACTTCAGAAAGGCGTTGAATGGAAGTGTGATCAGATTGTGAACGTTCCTTTTTTTTTTATCGGGCCATGCATTCTTTCATTGCATAAGAAAGAACATAAAGAAGATAACCGTTCGTATTTCTATAAATCCTATTTATATCGTGTTGTTTTATAAATGTTTATCTGATAGTTGAAAAACCTGACCCATTTAATAATCGGGGACTCGAATTTTTATTGTATTTTCCAGTTAATAAACGCGGACGGGAGCTCTAAATAAAACACGAATAGTTATTTCATTTTGTCCCAGATTTATTGACAAATCCTTTGGGTGAGGACACTAAAAGAAGAAAAAGAGAAAAGAAAAAATAAATGTCGGTTTAATATAATGTAATTCGAAAGTGACCTATTAAAGAATGAATTCAGTTAAAACTGATAGCGGTGCAACGCTGATCAAATTATTCATAAACATGTTTTATCAAACGAGAGTCAAGACATTTTGTCATGTCTTTGTATATTTTTATGCAATGTTGTAGAATGATATTGTTTCAAATATATTATACAGATAATAATAATAAACAAATTTATATGCCATAACTTGCGTTTAATTTGCTTTAATTACCCTATTGTATAATTAAAGTATATTAGTACATAATTTACCTCTCTATTTACAAAATTCAATACTAAAACGATGAAATACGGACTTTAATTCTGTTACTGAATAATTTAAATGTGCGATATGAAAAGTTAAATTATCTTTTAGAAATTAAATATTATAATAGCTTAGTTGGATAATTATAACCTTTGTTACGTTGTCGACAAATGATTACATCAGAATCACATGCAGTAGGGAAACGGAAAAAGTAGGAGCTTTCTGGTCATTTCGAAAGCATGGCTACCATTTACAAGCTAAGACTTGCAATTAAATTTGGAAGAAATCTTGGAATACCACTGAATAGAACCTTTGAAAGGAGAATTTTCGAAAGACAATGTCAGCGTTTTTCAGGTTCGCATATTTTTGTATTATATCTTATTTTATTGTTTCAATTTTTATTGCTTGATGCAAACTTTGAGGTTAGGTAGTCATATCTCTCTCGCACATGAATTAAAGTTACTGTAATATTTCCATTGGTAATTCTATTGTATTATAGACAAATTAAGTATTTAAGTGTAATTCGCTTTTAATCATTTATTTACATTGTGTTAATAACTGAATTTTAAATTTACAGCTATAATAAACAATTCTGTACAAGGATTTTCTTCTCAAGCAGCGACACAAACTACAGAAATACATAATATTATAAAAGATGTGGAAAAACCAACAGGTACTTGTAAAATCTTTTCCTTTATTTACTTATGGATATATATTTCATGCGTAGCTTAATGTATTCTTAATTCTTTTAGATGAAGGTGTTAAACATAAATTTCAATCAGAAACACAGATGCTGTTACAAATTGTGGCCAAATCTTTGTATTCGGAGCAAGAGGTAACTTTATTCTCATTTTATATTGACTTTTAAGTTATGTATTAACTTTTAGAAAATTGGCATCTTGGATGAAATAACATGAGTTTTATATGCTCTAAAGGTATTTCTTCGTGAATTAATTTCCAATGCAAGTGATGCACTTGAAAAGTTACGTTATATGCGTATAAGTGACTCCAAAGTTGCAGAGGTGGCTGGTGATCGTAACCTAGAAATTCATATTGGAACTAATAAACAAGATAGGATTCTTATAATTCAGGATACAGGAATTGGTATGACACGTGAAGAACTAATATCAAATATTGGAACTATAGCTCGATCTGGTTCCAAAGTGAGTTAAAATACAATTACATACTAATTAGTTATATAAATGATATCTAATAGTTTGTTATGATGCTGAAATTAATTCTGTTTATTTTTTTTTCTGTTTTAAATTCTACTCTTTATTACAGGCTTTTCTAGAAAAAATTAAAGAAAAGCAAAATGCTGGTGATACATCCCAAATTATTGGACAATTTGGTGTTGGTTTCTACAGTGCTTTTATGGTTGCTGATAAAGTAGAAGTGTTTACAAAATCGTATGAGAAAGACGCTGAAGGTCTTTGTTGGCAATCAGACGGGTAAAAGAAATATTACAGAATTTATAAATAATTGTAAATCTGTACGCTATGAGAAAATTTGTTATTTCATTAAAATATCTATCTTATTCAGTTCTGACACATTCAATATTTCAAACGCCGAAGGAGTTCAACCAGGGACAAAGATTGTTATACATTTGAATTCCCAGTGTCGACAATTTAGTGACGAAGACACAATTAATCGTATGTAATATTATAACCTTTTCGCGACGGCGAAACTGGGCATCAATGTGCTACCCATAAAAACAATACCTTGCATTTTCGGCGCTCTTCTACGCTTGTACACTAATTATGCTTAATAAAAAGAACTCATAGCATCTTTAGAATATAATATATGAATAATACACTTGGGACAAGATTGTAACTAATTACGATAAGTAATACACTAACTTTAAGCCTGCCGAATGTAACCGGAACTAGCCACTGGGCAGCACTTTTTGGATGCCATCTTTAATTGGCGCTAGTTGCGAAAAGGTTAAAACTTTAGTGAGATTACATATTTTTTAACGAATGATTAATAATAATTTGTGTTTCAAAGGTCTCATCACTAAGTACAGTAACTTTATCGGTAGTCCTATTTATGTTAACGGCAAGAGGGTTAATACTATGCAGGTAAAATTGACATGTTTACATTTGCTTAGGTATTCTATATAAAATGCTGCTGTATTTTTCAGCCATTGTGGTTGCTTGATCCAAAAGAAATTACACAATTACAACATAATGAGTTCTATAGATTTATTGGAAACTGTTTTGATTCTCCTCGATTCATATTACACTATTCAACCGATGTTCCAATTAACATAAGAGCATTATTATATTTCCCGGAACAAAAACCGTCATTCTTTGATTTCGGTAAAGATGAAGTGACGGGTGTCTCACTGTATAGTCGTAAAGTGTTAATCAAAAGTAAAGATATAAATATTTTACCAAAATGGTTGCGTTTCGTCAAAGGAGTGGTTGATTCTGAAGATATTCCTCTTAATTTAAGTCGGGAATTATTACAGAATAGTACTTTAATCAGGTAGGATACCATAAATAAGTTAAAGCATGTAATGATGCCTAAATTTGTGGATGTTGAATGATTTTAGTTTTATTTAATTTTTTTAACTAAAAATATAATGATAATAGTAATCGATGATGATGCGCGAGCTAAGAGCGAATGAGGGTGCGAGAAATGGAAAGAGGTGAAGAGACAGAGCTGAAGAGTTTGAGAAAATGGAAGACAGGAGAATACAAGTGAGAAGCGAGTGAATCAATGGAAGAGAATGAGATGACGCGTGAGCTAAAGTGTATATGTGTTTTGCGCGGCGATAAAGCACATTTCCTCGATTCGAGCGTATTTATTAAATTTTAGTTCCGCAGAATGTGCTGTGTCGCCGAATTCGACAGGTTGCACATGAAATAATCACGGTCAGCTGCGAACACCGTTCTTGGTACGATGAACCGAGTGCTCTCCTCGCGAATCTTCCGCTTGTTTTCGAGTCACCCCTCTCCAAGTACGAGGAATTCGTCGTAGCAGGAGAATATTAGCAAATTGTTTCATTCAATGTTACTTGTAAGTCAGAATTCTTCGCGACGCATTCGATCGTGATTTATGATATACGTCGAGCTACAGTTCATCGTCACCAGGTGGCGGTCTCGCGACTAATCTTCCAAATAGTGATACATTCCATAGATAACGAAATGGAGTAGAAATCCACGGTTCGTCTAATCAAAACTATCGTTTCTAAAAGAGAGAAAGGGAGGTTGGAATAGTGGAGAAATTAAATTATCGAGGAAACATCGAGATAGGATAGGCGCGCGAGAATTCAAGGACACCGAGTAAACATATGGGACACCCGGTAGAAAATAGAGGGAAAGAGAGAGAGAGAGAGAGAGAGAGAGAGAGAGAGAGAGAGAGAACTCAACAGAAAAACGAAAGTGCAGAGAAATAACGAGAGGTAAAGATAATCCTCGACCGGTCGCCGAAAAGGTGTGTACGAGTACATCCTGATCGGATTTTCGCACGTCACCCAGTTGTAGTCCGCACTTGTGGGGGGAATCCCCGTCTTCGTTTTCAAACGCGTAATCTCGCGCGATTATTAGCAAGAGAAAGAAAAATAATACGAGTCTTTTCTTTGAATATAATATAAAGAAACAAAACGAGAAAAAAAAGGAAAGAAAAAGTAATTCCCTTAAATCGGCGGAACGACGTTATTATTGTCTTGTAAAATATTGGGGCCATGAAACATAATCTAAAGAACGAAAAAACGACATAAGAAAAAAAAATAAAAAAAAGTGAAGAAAGAATAATAACGGAAGAAGAGAAAAAAAAGAAAATGAAGAACAAAGGAAACAGGTGCTCTGATCGTGTCACGTTGATTTAACGAGAACGTATGATGTAAATCGAGAGAATCAAGTATGGTTACGAGAGTAACACAGTCGCCACAGTGATTGTTCTGTTCTCTGCTTTTTTCCACGATTATTAATAAAAGTATATAATATACATACGTTTTTTCATGAACGAACGAAAGAGAGAGAGTGAGCGAGCGAAAGGGGCAAAGTGCGTGCGAGAGAGACAGAACGAAAGAGAGAAAGAGCGAGCGAGAATGTGCGAAATTGAGAAATCGAGAGATTGAGATAGATCAAAACACGAGGAACAGAAAGGAGACGATTTGTTGTAGGAAAAGAGTGAGAGAGTGAGAGAGGGACAGAGTGAGAGAGAGAAAGATAAAGAGAGAAAGAGAGCATTAGGGACCAACCAAAAAGAGAGCAAAAAAAAGCGTGCGATGGTGTTGATTGTCACGGTGGATCGTTTTTCCTTTTTATATATACGTCGAAAGGAGAGAAAGAATACGGGAGAAAATGAGACATCAGTGCCTCGAATTATTTCGCGACCGAACGCCGAACTAACAACATAACCTCTATCATTTACACAGAAACCTTCGCGTGATGCGTATAAGCCGTGTTTCCGGTTTTTGCGGATATGCCACTCGATCTTCCAGGTTTTTGGAAAGAAGAAAGAAAGAAAGAAAGTAAAAAAGACGGGTATAACGATTGGTACAAGATCGATAAAAATTAACGACGATCGGAGCTGTTCTTTCTTACACTGTCGACAGTCGATGTTGGTTAGGCAACGTTCAGCCGAAGAGGAGGAGAAAGAAAAGGCTCCCGGGTATGTGTCAGTTCATCGAGGAGTTTCGTGCCGGACAAATATACCTAATTATTTATAATATTTATAACTTTATATGATATACGGGCATTTCGCATAGAATAAAGTTCATGTTGAATTTCGAACTGTTATTAATAAAAAGCGTTGAGTTCCTACAATCGTTTCTTTACTTCGCTTCTAGACAAATTATCGTCTCATCTCACGAGTGGGAAGTTTCCAAATCGATTTTCCATTTTCCACATAACGAAAAGGTCAAAGATTAAACGGGAAGAATTGACCATAGGACTCAATGAAATTTCGTTGCAGCACAAGTGACGAACAACCGTGAACGTCAAATCGGCCACGCCATTGTTGACCAGGTCTCGCGACTTCGCTATTCATCGACTCGCGTTAGACGAACCCGACTGTTCACTGTATTTGAAATCAACGGTTATTTGCGCGCCAAGGACAATCGAAACAATAGCCGGGGACAGACAGCTAGACCAGGCTCATTCATCTGTCCACGATCGTGACTATTCGTATCTTCCACTCGCTTCACCATGTATACATACTTGCAATCTTCACACACATCTCGTACTTCTTTACCAACCCTTTGCAGCATCGTCTCACGCCTGCACACTTGTTCCCTCTAGCCGGGATATTTTCAAGGTGCGTACTCCTTTATCGATTCTCCGGAGAGAGAATCAGAGACATACGTATCTCTGCCTGAGGACGCTAGTAGCAATCGCTGAAAAATTCACGGTGGCGCTCATCGATCGACACGGCGAAAAAGAGAAAAAGAGAACGTGGCCAGGAGAGTGAAGCTGCCCGATCCAATGGTGGCGCGCGTGAAGCGCCGCCTCTCTCTGCTCGCGCGATAATCCTAACCAAACTTTGCTCGTTATCGATTCCTTCGGGGCTGTTGTTGCTAAGCGAATTTTCTCGCGTTCCGTTACTAATTTCCGTTCTCCACTGTTCTCCATCTACCGATATGCAATGTTAAATCTTGGGGCTTTTTGGTGTCTTCGTAGCATTTCCTCGAGCGCCGACTGGTTAACATGAAAATTCGTTGTTTTCGTCCCCAAGACGGCGTCTCCATCTGCGTCGCGACGCTCCAACACTAGGTCGAACGGTAGCGGCCTAACGCGTGCAGTCGCGACGAACGTGGGAGGGGAGGGAGGATCAATATCACGGTTAGGGAGAGACCAGACTGAAAATAGGAGCGAGTGTAGGAGCAGCGATGAGGGATAAGGATTACAAGAGGAGAGGGAAGTGGAATGGGAGGGAAGCCAACCCGAAAATGTCAATTCGCCGGCCTTGGCTCCTCGTGAAATTACAATCGTGGCACAAGGGTGGCTCGTGGTCGATTTAAACGGACTTTTATGGTTTTACGAGAGAATTTTGGTAGAACAGAGCTGATCTCTATGGCGATGAAGGAGTATCTCGGTGGCTTGGAATTGATTCCTGTGGGTAGTAACTCTAGTACTCAGGCTGAGTCAAGGTTCAGGTTAGGGGAGGATCATGTAGACATTGAAATTTGTAGCTCCTTTTGGCATCCTACTCTGTTGATCGATTAGACCACTCAGAGTTATAATCGGATGGATCATATCATGATCGCATAATTGTATCTCTACTTTTCTCCGTTGCTAGAGTGCCTTGTTAATCCGTCGTTGTGTTCTATGTTGGTCTTTATGTAACTATTGTGTTTCTTTCTTACCTTTTCTTTTTTCCATTTTATTTCAGATTCCTCGTTTCGAATAGATTTTACAAGAGTTAGGTGTGTCACTCCTCGTTTAAATCCCGAAAATAAACGTATGGTTTTAGTACTTTGAATTGAAATTCCATCAAGGTTAATCGACCAAAGTTTATCCAAACTTTCATAATTTGTTATGTATGTAAATATTTAAAGTTTCCTGATTCAGTTAAAACTTTACAGTATTTAATGAGAATTGTCAAATAGGTGTTCCAGTAGATGCCCAAAAGTAACCATGATTACGTGGTCTATGATCTGATCGTGCGAATGGTCATTTTCTCGGTTAAGAACAGTTGCACTGTAGTTATTTGTTCCTTCCTTTTGTGTAAATCCGATTAATTACATGTGGTATATAACGGATATAAGAAGCTGTCGACACTGCGGAAACATTCTAATCTTGTCTTTATTTCTATTCCCATTAGGTTACGACCGGTTGAGTGGTAAAGGTAAAATATAAATATTATTAAAATTAAGGAGAAGACGTAGAGTAAAATGATGTTGAGTTTTACTAATTTGCAAATTTCATTGATGAAACAGTAAGTGCAACGACGATCCACTGGTCGACATCGACAAAGCACATCGACAACAAGCTCCGCTATATACACAACACCGAATGGCTCATGAAAATCCGTTGTGAAACTATCAATTAACTGACCTTTGCGATAGAGAAAGGCAGAGACATGCGATTATTCTGAATTAGGATAAATTCTTGTTTCGGAATTATATCTTCTAGTAGCTACAAATGACGTAAACGCTGAAGGCATGTGTAAAAATTTGGAATTAAGCGTGTCCAAACACAAGCTTCCGGAAACATCCTGTGAATTGTCTGTTGAAACATTCGAAGGTATACGATTTTTATTTGCAATGTAACAGTAAATATTTTCACTAAAACAAACGTGTTTGTTAACTCATGGCCATTTTTTCCACAAAACGACGCATCTGAATCGTTAATCATTCGTCGTAAAGGTCAGCGAAATAAATCCAGATCTTATCTAAATTCTTGTCCGACAAAGAAGGTTGCAAAGGGAAAAAATCGCATATACAATTTCACTCTTTATGAAACCAATAAAGAAAAAGAAAAGAAAAAAAAAATGAAAAAAGAAGACAAAAATCATAAAAATTGGACGGTGTATATTCCAAGGTTATATAAAACCAACTCGTGGTTCTTGTATCCAGTTTATTTTATACTCGCTTGCCTTGTCTGTAAAGCGTCGACTAGATGATTTTCTATTGATCCTCTCTTTACAAGAATACGGAAAATAGTCGTCAAGGTCGTCACGAGTATCGAATCAAAATCTCTTTTGAAACTCTCACTCAATGTAATATCATCCGAAGAATTACGCTTTATTCACGGACGATTCCTTCGACGAAATATCACCTATTCCCCCACATTTTATCTAATTCTTCATTTCGACAAACGATCGATTTTATTCTACGTTAAAAACGAACACCGACAGTTCGTCATTTTGAGGTTATGAAACTGTGGCCAATGTCTAGTTCGAAGGAATCGTCCGATCGAGTAACCGAGTAGATTAAAAATAGAGGAAGAGTCAAGAAAAGATTGGACGCGAGGCAAGAAATTCGAAAATCTAACGATCGTAAATATACATATATCTGTTTCTTGACGATTCTTCGCAGCGATCACGTGATATATCAGTCGACTGTATGTTCATCGAAACGATAGTATATACATAATTCGCAAGAACGTTTGTGGGATCAGTATTTATAAAGGACAAGGAGGTTTCGATAACCGAGATAAGTACTATTCGACCAACACGACGACTGCGACGACCACTCAGAATCACGGCGACAGAAGCATAGCGACGTATCGGTTTTTTTTTTCCTTCGTTGTATTGTAAATAGCGTGTAGTAAGCCAGAGTGCAGTTGGAAGGAGGTAGATAGAGACAAAGAGAAAGCGAGCGAAGCACGTGACTGTAATTTTTGCGGCTGACGGATAATCGGCGAACACCGGCGTGCCACACAGAGTCTTGACGTTTTCTTCTTCGACCGAATTGCGCGCGAGAGGGGATCGAGAATGCAAACGAAAGCCGTTTCTCTCCCTTCTCGGCGAGAAATCGCTTTGAACAGGTCATAGGATACGGTCCGTGACGGTATGTAACGGGCGTGCACAGTGACAATCTCGAAAAGATAGAAAAAGATTAAATAATTAAAAATTCGGAGAATTGGAAATCGATAAAACGTCGAAGTTTCCATGTTATGAACGATCGAGACGATATATACGATTAGAAGCGTGAAATATACAGCGGGATTAACGTCGATTATAATGGAGATCGATATTTAAATAAACGGGCGACTTAAGGAAAATTAATATGATAGTAAAGAGAAGAGAAAATGGCGGGAAGAAACGTACACAGACGGGATGAACGTGCTAGCGCCTTCGCCGCAGATCCATCGACGCAGAATCAATACTCTCTTCATGCTATTGTTCTCAACGAGATTGTGATATATATATTGTTAATGCTGTAATGATAACTAGAGCGCGTACGTATAGAGGGCGCAATGTTCGCCGCGCGGACCTTTAGTGAAAAAGAGGGCGCAGCAGGCGATCATCCCGTGGACTCGAATGAAACGGATTGCTCGCGAGCTCGCCGATATATGGTTTTCGATGATTCGTGCCGTGAAACTTACGCCTCGCCGTTTCTTTCCGTTCGCGAACACGTGAAAGCAAATAGGGTCACCGAGAAATGAGACGCGGTAGCAATAAAACAGTAGCGAAACAAAGGAGAAAAAGGAGGAAGAGAGTAAGAGATAAAGAAGAGATAGAAATAGAGATAGAGTGAGTGACACGCGTTAATTGGATAGAGACGCGAGGAAAATGATGCCTGTAAATAAACGAACAAAAGAGAGAAAAAATGAAACAAAGAAAGAAAACAGTGTTGCGTTATAATTATTTATGTTGCCGATCGAAGCGAATTCGATAGTGAATTATTGTAATAATTCGTAATTTAACACGGAAAACGAAGAACGAATAATGAGAAATCATATACACAGATTATGTACATAAGCTAATGGGTAATATCTCCCTTGGTAAAGGATAGTTTACGGATAGTTATTTTTATTACAACTATTATTATTTCTGAGTAACTATTATTATTATTATTATTATTATTATTATTATTTTTATTTTTATTTAAGATGATTGCACTAAGAGAAATATTTAATATGATCTCCATTAACTTTTCATGGAATGTTTGTTACTTGCATGATTGCTGGTGATAAAGAGTATGTATGTTGACCTTGAAATGTCTTACAATGGAAGTCATGGTAGTTAGAAA